ACATGGCCCAATGAGGGTTCAAAAGGGACATCATCTGAGCGGTACATCTGACCCCCTTCCAGATCGTGTTCCGGTAGCAGTCTTTTTGTTATATTCGGTGGTAATATGCGGTGCGGGCGGTTACCGTCGCGAAGCGACGTGAATTATATACTATAGCGACAGCCCTTTCCTTTTTTGAGGGCCCAATGGTAGGGTATAGTACAGCTCGAATAGTTTCTTTCAGTGAAGCATGCGGTGGCTGTTGTGCAGAACTGTGCAGCTTCGTGTCGTACTGCTGCAGCCATTGTCGTAACTGCTGCAAATAGGTATTGCCGTCCGTCTGGGCACCAACTGCTTCGTAGCCATAGCCACCATAGCCGGAGCGGCTTGAGTCATAACCAGAGCCGACTGAAGCAAAAGACCTCATGCCACACGTGCAATGATTCTGCTGATTGAACAAACCGCTTGGTTTGCAATTGATGGTCCTTTTGGTTGCGCTTGATGGTCCAGTTGTTTGAAACACAATTGAAGTCGGAAGGTTGGTGCTTGCCGTTTTCTGGTCAGAGTGTTGCAAAGTAGCTTCCTACTGCTACTCTTGGCACCGAGCATCAGCACAGTTTGTCAGTATGAGAAGTTTCCTACTTGGTATTCATTTCAAATAGAGTTACACATGGTAGTATCTTAGAATCTTCATATGTGGCAGAGGAGAAGATATAAAGCCCCATAGACCCTCCGCGCCACACAAGTCCAGCGAAACTCACTTCATAGCGCACCTACTAAAGGTTGCCGTAAATGGGGCGCATCATCAATGTGACTTGTAACCTTTTGCAAAACAAACAGACATATACATGCGTCTCCTGCATCACTGTTGTCAAATTCTGTGATGATAAAGTCGGTGTGCTGAAGAGCTAGATGCTGCAATGCTCACAAACCACTTCACAAACCCTATCAAAGTATCCTTTCGGAGGGGGCAATAGCACTACCAGTGACGTTTAGCACAGATGCACTGTTTGTTACCCTTTCATGCGGTTTCAGCGTGCACTCACCGTGCTTGAACATATCGTGGCACACAAATCGAACTATTGCCTGCGGTGGTGGGGTCAGGCTGCTGGCAAGACCGGGAACAGGTCGCAACAGCAATACATATATCAATATACATTAGACAGAAAAGGCACATCATGGCACCAAGAACAATAACTATGAATGAGATGCCTGCATCAATCTTTTCCAAGCTGCGGAGTCTGATACCAGTTCTGCCCAAAGTTTTGTCCAAAGTTCTGCCCCAAGCTATGGCCAGGCCCAGTGCTAAGGTTGCTGAAGGAGCCTCCAACTTGAGGATTAAATACGTCTCTCGCGTCTTTAAATTGTATTATATAAATTGTAATCTTTGATTTCGTTGCATATCTTTGTCTCTCTGGTGTTGGTTTCGAGTGCAACATGCCCCGTTCCAAACGAAATGAAGCCAAAGGATGCCAAAGGATGGCAAAGACTCGAGCCTGCAAAAGATGGCATGGATGAACCATTTGGCATGCTGGTGCCAACAAGAGGTTGCCTCTCATCTCCAGAGCCGACCTGCTCACCCTGTTCGCCACCTTTCTCCTCAGTCTCAACTGACCTTTTCGTACTTTTTTTGCTTTTCTTCTTCCGTGACCTCCACACCACGCAAATGGCCACGATCACACCAATAGCAATCAAACCACCAAGCGCCCAAAAAAGCCATGGCAGCGGAGCCCCATCAGAACTCTGCTCCACCGAGAGGGTGTCTGTGACTCTCCACTTTACAGTGCTCGCAGACGCATTGCTAGTCGGTGGCATGGCCCTGAAGCACTTGTAGTCGGGCATTGGTGACACCCACTGAATGGGTGTATTCCACACCTGGGCTATGCACCCACACAACCCGGAGCAACGAACAACCAGCAAATCTCGCACAAAAATTATGGAAAAACACACTTCAACCTAATAGCAAAAGACACCCGGTAGCGATGGCCGGCAACCTAATAGCGATGGCCTCCAACCCAGTAGCGATGGCCTCCAACCTAATAGCGATGGCCTCCAACCCTGTAGCGATGGCCTCCAACGTAGTAGCAACCAAATAGTGAATAGCAATGGCCTCCAACCTAAGCGCAATTGAACAAACTGGACCCTTTTTCGGCATGCAGTTTGAGGCCACTGCTTCACAGTAATTGTTCTTTCTTTCATGTTCGATGCCCGTGCAGTCCTGCGTCAAAGCATGTCAACACTCCTTCCCCAGCAGCGCTCATCCTCGACCCAACACAGTTTCTGCCACCCTCTGTCCTGCTTCCAGCTACAAATGTCGAAGCATTCTTCTAGGTCAGCTGTCCACACTGAATAGTAATTTCCTGAGCAAAGGGACGCCAATGAAAATGAATGGTCCCACCAACTCATCAAACACAAAACAGGTAAACTGCAATAACGCGTGCAACCCCTTCATACGCCAAACAAAGTACAGAAAAGAAAAAGAACATGGACACGCAACAGGTTGGAAGCTGCAACAACACTTGGCCAAGTCTCGAGAGTAAGGATCCGCGACGCCTGACACGCTGTTGGAGTTTCAATGAAGGGAACATATGCAAATTAGATTAGCATCTGCAAACCTGATGCGAGTCAAGGCACTTGCATCATTGATGTTGCTAGCGCGGCATGCGTAGTTTGAGCTGCCTTCAATAGACTTCAATGGTATATGCAAGGACTAGAGAAGGCATGTACAAGTGACATCCATGTACAAGGATTGCAAAGGCCTTCTTGGTTCCCTCCTCCTGGATTCAGAAGTTCTAATTCTGGCCTTCATCCAGGTTGTAGTGACTGAACTAACTGCCTTCACACATTTCAAGAGAATCTCAAGCCTGGCATTGCTGGCATCAAGGTGCTCGAAATTAATGTCCCTGCCAGCAAAGCCACCTGCTCGAAGCTGCTCCTCAGGTCGTCCACAACATCTCACCGGATGATGCGACAAACGTGGCAAAGGATGCCCCTTGCTCCTAGTAGCGCCCTTGTTCCTAGTAGTATGGCCAGGAGCCCCTAGTAGCGTCCTTGCTCCTAGTAGCGATGCCCCTTGCTCCTAGTAGCTTCTTGTTCCTAGTATGCAAAAGCTGAAAAAAAAGCCGTGGCTGAAACGTGCCAAAGAGTCGGGCACTGTTTGTTGCCACAATTCTGAGGAGCGCTTTCCTGTCTTGGTTGCGATCGAAGAAGCCAATTCCAATTGCTATCTATTTGCAGGTGCAGTATGCAAACAAGTGGAAGAACAAGTGGAACCACAATGTAGACATCCGCTAAAGCAAGTTTATGGGGGTTGAAGGCTCTATCTTGTTCTTCTCATGGCTGACGCAACCAAAGTTGAAACAGTCGCCCACATATTGAAATCACAAAACCACTAGACAAAAAAGTGTCTTGGAACAATCGTCGTTTTTCAATCATGCTTGTTTCAATTGGTATTCAGCATATGTGCGAAGCAGTCTGTGCAAACCAGCGTGCACCGCCCGTTTTTTCCAAATATGTATGGGAGACGGGCTGAGACAGGTTTCCCAAAATAGTATGGGGACATGTCTTGCAAGATTGGCTTTTAGAGGCGGGGAACGAAGCAGATGCAAGTGATGAACCTTGCAAAATCAATTGTTTGGGTAGGTGAGGGGGAGTCCCAATTGATCTATCACGCTCTTGTAGTAGTGATGCATCAATATCAATCCTGTCAATTCGAACCCTCCCCACACAAACAATAAATTAACACACATTTTCTTTAAATAATGCTTATATATATATATATGTATATATATAGGTTGTAGTTTTTTGATGTTCCCGGGCCGGAATGTTTGACTATGGGGTATGCTTCGCAGAGTGTGAAGACCAAAGTAATAGCATTTTCGGAGGGTATGCTTCGCCTAAGTCGAACATCCCAGCCCTACATAAACTGGACACGTAAAAAAAGACAGCAAACCCTAGTATATGTATACTGGACAAAAATATATAATGATCTACATCTACATTGCTACATCTTCATAAGCACAACACTCCTATATACACATATATACAAAACTCCTATAT